ATCGAAGAAAGTTTGAATTACGTGTTCATGTACAAATTCAGGCAATTGCGTGAAAAACGAGAAATTAGGAATCGGATAAATTTTAGATTTTAATAAAAGAAAATCTATAAATTTATAAACAAATATATTTGTGGAGTGTTTGAAAGAGTGAGTTATTAAAAAATTGATATACGTGTCATATCAAATAGAAATAGCAGAATCACAAAACATGATTTTTTTCTCTCCCGGAGAGAAAAAAGAGATTTTTGATGTTATTATAGAAGATATTTCCGGAAAGAAAAATATATTTCTAAGTGCCAGCCATATAATGTGTCGAGGGAAAGCTCTTCGATCTAACTTGCGCAACATGCCCTAGCGTAACCGCAGCCGCCGCAGACGACGATATCGTAACTCGGACTCTAGCCGTTCTGATGCAGACGCACCGGGAGGGCATCGCGGTGTTCTGGTGTGCGTGCCTTTGCGAAAGTGCTCACGGAGTAAGAGAGAATTGCGTTCGTGTTATTTTCAATCTATGAGACGACAGCACATGCGAAAAGAGAATAGAGAGACAGAAAAATCTATTTATTTTGGAGCAAGGCTTATAAGAGAAAGAATAAGCAGAACTAATAATAATAGAATAAGATTCATATGTATAACATACATATGATAAAAGATATTTATGTATATGTAATGAGAAAAATATATAAACGTTTTCTTTTTCGTTTAAGAAAGAAATAAGAACTGATTATGAAGAAAGACTTTTTTTTAAATCTTTGTACAAAATTTATTAATCTTGGATATTTCTTTTTTACCGAAAGAACAGTTACATGCGGATAATATTCTAAAGAAATAAAATAATTAAAAATACAATTTTCGAATAACTGCAAGTGACACTGCAATCTTATTACTGACCTAGAATAAAAAGATAATAATTTATTTAAAAATAAATAAAATTAGTCTATGACGTGCGTAACATTGTAGCTTGCAAAGTAGTAGGATCAGCGTCCAACCCAATCGTGATTCGTTTCTGAAGTCTGGAATTTAAAGCGCGACGCGGCGAATAATTGAAAAGCGTCTCCGATGAGAGCGAGCGAGAAAGCGGGCGACCGCGGGAGCGAGACGCCCGCATTGAAGAGAAAGAAGAGGGAGGGTCGTAGATTCGATGGGTATCGTAGGAGCTCAAGGAGGGACCCAGGAGGCCCGACAGACTGACGCCAGGAACCTCGCCGAGTGAGACGGCCGGCGCCCCGCGTCGTCGTTGTGCCTGCGTGTCGCGTTCCGTACGTGCGTAAGCGTGCTGGCGTATGCGTGAGCACGTCACTAGCCGCGCGCATATAAATACGCGCGCATCTGCAGCGGTTTGCTTCTCTTCTTCTTCTTCTTCTTCTTCTCCGTTACACGTTCGTCCCTCGTTGTATCCTCCTTCTCCTCACCGCTCCACGAGAATGTGGTTATTCGGCGTCATCTGGATTCCGGTGTGAATCATAACGCTCTCTCAGGCCGTTCAATTTAAGAGAGCCGGTAGAAATTGAATCACGCGCGTACGACGTGACAGGACCACAGCGAGAGTGAATTTTGTGCAAATTTCATCAAATATCATATATAATATATATATATAATAAACAAAATATAATAATAAATAATTCTACATATATATACATATATATATATGTACATTTTTAAAGCAAATATAGAAATCCATTAATTACAATAACATTGTAGCAAATTAATGACTTTTTTATTCGTTTTAAAAATGTATATTTTGCAATGTTCTTTAACAAATGTTAAATTTATGCCGCGCTGATATAAGATGTTTTAATGAGGTTCGCTATTCTCATCAGCGATCGAAGATCACTCTATAGGAGAGGACGAACATCGTCGTCTGGTTGTGAGCGTGATTCATGCCAGCGGCGCCGACTAAGAGATCGATCGACGGCGAGATCGTCTGATACAATACAGTGTGTACTGTCAGCGCAATTTGTGAAACGCAATTTATACAACCGCGATTATGCAGAAACGATAGAAATACGTCGTGGTTTGTTTATTCAATCGTAGTCACACGTATGATGAAATCTAAATGCAAATAAGCGGACGTAATTTTAAATTCGTCTTACGTTAAGAGACAAAAGTATACCGAAGCGGCATTATTCGTCTTATAGTTGATGCGCAGAAGGCCGCACTGTTACGTAAATTCTAATTACATCCGTCACCCGTCGGTTAACGCGCGTTATTGCAAGGTATATAAGTAAATTTTAGAACTGCAATGATGCATCGGACGCAAGTAAATTTCGATCTTGGAAGCAGCAGCGGCAAGAACGCTCTTTTTTCTTACATCGGGCAAGGACGTTTCGTCGGATTTCTCCATCGTCGACAGTTTCGAAGGGGCGGGAGGAGGTGGAGGAGGGCGGGGAAACGAGGTTGCGACAACCAGGAGGACCAGGGTCATCTCACGTTCACCTCGTAACGCTCACGTTTGACCGAATTCTAGTCGCGGGTCTCTCCGTTGCTTTCACGGAGAGGAGAGCCTGTTTCTCTGTCGTGCGCTTAATTCGATTTACCGAAGGATGTCCCGGCGATGTCTTAGTGATATTTCCTCTCTGTCGCGACTATCTTTTGAACATTGTATTCCGTTGCTTTCTAAGAAATTGAGTCGTTGATCACATTGATTTTTTTTTTGGATAATTAGAAAATTGGAGCAATTATGAAATGAAAATAAAACGAGAGGGGAAAGATGAATAATTGAAGAGGTGTCGCAAATAACGATGAAAATATCGTCTAAAAACGATTTGCACGATGCGAATCAATTGCATAAAGATTTATAAAAATGGTACAACTACGGGTACATATCGTTTTTGACGTTAATAAGTTTTGAGATAGACGTAATTCATAAAATTAAAGATCTCCAGCTCTTCGGTATATCTCCGTAATACAAGGAAGCTTTCCGAATTTCAACGAGATTGAAGAGGGGCATTTTAAATTTTCTCGAAAGATCAAATTATATTTTATATGTATATGATATTTCAAATCTTATATTTCTTTTACTTTATTGCTGACTTTTGATACATTCAAATACGTAAAAAAAAAACGCTTTACATGAATATTTCGCGGAAAATCTAACGGCAATTCAGTAATCGCTTTCCGGAGTAGATTCGATCGAGCGCAGTGCACTCGAGGAGCGAACGCATAAGAATGCAGCTCGCTTGAACCTCGAGCTAAGATCAGGCTTTCTAAGGATTCCTTGGGAATCGGGGTCAGAAAGGAGCCAAGCTGATTCTTAAATCATCGATTCGGGGTCGTGCTCGCAAACTGCGAAGTGTTTCAGGATTCTCTCCTCTCTCGTTCTCTTTCTCCTTATGACTCCTTTTTCTTCCGTTAATTTATTATGTTCGTTGTGTCGTCCGATATATTATACATGCTTTTGACAAGAGATAATAATAACAACTACAATCAACGTTAGCTACTCAAAGATCTTTTTTGGATGGAAAAATTGTAAATATAGAGTGTATACGACGTGGAAACAAACAGAGACGCAATTCAATATGTTGTATAGATTAATTATTGTTATATTGATGTATTTTTACTTTAAATTTATACAAACAAAAGAACAAAATGTTGTTAATGCTATTGTTGTCAAGTTTCTTTGGAACATCGATAGAGTGAGCGGAACAATGAATGGAATTTTTTTATATCCGCGTAAGAAAATGAATTATTTTTTCGAAGAAAAATCTATTTATTTCAAATGATTGCAGTAACAAAAATTGACGGACTTCTCTGAATACATTTTATAATTGAATTTAAACTTAAATTTCTATTAAGCAAAAATGTACTTAAACAAAACTTTTATTTATAGATTTGCAATAAGTTTACGAAGTCCTTTGATGCCTATTTATATTATATAGATTTATCGATACCTTTGATCCATAACTAATATTTTTCTCAAATCGACCTTTTTTACGCGTTTACGAAAGGTATTTTTAATACTTTCTGTAAAAGTCATCCAATCCAGCACAATAACACAGCAGTCGTTAGGAGCTTTGTGAATGGAAAAATACGAGACGCACAGTCGACGATGACAGACGGTCAGTCCGTTGTGAACAGCACCTTAGCCGTTGCTCATCATGTCCCTGCAGCTACGAAATACAAAGAGAGAGAGAGAGAGAGAGAGAGGGGGAGGGAGAGGGAAGAAGGATGGAGAAGTGGTGATGCTGTAAGTAGAGTTCTATTCCTAGATCCCGGGATACCCGAGAACAACCTCGCACAACGGAAAATCGAGAGGGCTTCCCCAATCCCTAGAACAGCCGCTGTGCTCCAAGTAACTTCGAGTAACTCGTCCCTTCCAACTCTTCCTTATCCTTCGCCCGTCTTTGGCAAACTTCATCTGAGAGCCCTTCACCCTTCGCTCTTGCCACTCGGAAGTAAAGTCACCGGAACGAGCTCGTTTACGGCATTCCACGTTTCTGTTTCTCAGATAAAGATAATTGGCCACTTGGACATGTTCTTTCGAAGATATTAATAATCGTAGAAAAGTTTGTGCAGCCTTCTAGAGATAATCCCACGTATTATTTCAGTTATATTTCTCTCTCTTTCTGTCCTTCTTTATCCCGATGCAGTTCTCACACAGAACGAATATTTCACGTCTATGATGAATGCTAAATAATGATACGTTTGTAAAATGGTCAAATGTAAAATAAAGGTTTGCGAAAGGTGCAGACCTACCGCAGTTGATCTATAATTAATTACGTTCTCAGACACAGAGCGAGAATAATAGCGATTGTTTTCGGCTGGCGATATTACTCGAAGAATAACTATATTAATAATAGTTAAAATAGACATATACGTTTATGGCTCTGCTTATTGAACAATCGGATAATTGTGGAGATCCGATATTTCCGATCGCTCTTCGATCTCGATATTTTCAAACGTTTGATCGCGCTATCGAGAATGCCATCGCTCCGCCCAAACGGAGCACGTTTTACGACCGTGAGATACGAGAAAACAATAGAAGGTGATTTGACGTACGTGTTAACCTTGCGCATATACGTATAACATTTCCACGGTAGTTAATTTCCATACAATTAAATACCGAACGCCCGATGCCCTCGTGGGTGATGCGACTTGATCGCATCCGGTCGTGCATTCGCGATCGATCCTGAATCGATTTGACAGAAGCCAGGCTGGAATGATCTCATCGAGATCGCTCCACGGGACAGTGTGCAATTCCTTCCACGTACACGCGAGCGATTCTCGTGCCCTGATTTAATCGAGATGCTCCGGTGACTCACGGTACGTTGACTATCGACAAGGTTTCAGGAAATGCAGACACGTTGCGCTCGGACAATCCTACCGTAATTGTTAATAACATTTCGTCTTAATTTCAATTCGATCTTTGAAGATTCAGAATTTTTAATTAATCAATCGTCATATTTAATATTATTTAATATTACAATTTAATATTTATTCAATACTGTCATTTCCGTTTTTGTAATGGTTACAAATTTATTATCTCTTTGAACTTAAGTGCAGTGTCTTGATTTCTCATTTTTATTAATGAGCGCAATCTTGTTGACGATTATGTCGCGAGTTCATCCCGAATATTTGAAGAGCGTGAATTCGGCTCTGAGATTCAAGCTCTCGCCGAGGGACAAAGGACTCGGAAACATCGATGTCGAGATTCTGATCCTCCCGTCGCCGCAGGGAGAGGACGAACAAAATAATTAAAATAATAAAATACAAAATAAATCGCGCGACAGTGTGCGTTCGGGCCTTCGAGTTTTCGAGATATATACGCGTGGGTACACCTCTCTCGCCTTCGTGAGGTAACGCTCACGCGTGTACATGCCACGGGATAATTCTTGTGTAAGAGAATTTACGATAAGCCGCGGTTAGGACCCGATCCGTCCCGTTCTGTCGCGGCCTTTTCTCTTCCGAAGGCCGCGAGCCCGGGCTCCGCTCGCGTCCTGTTTATTTACGTTTTGACGACGAGTTAATGGGGATATCGACGGCGCGTAAATGTATGCATGGGCTTGTCGTAATTCACGCTTTGTTGCGCGAGCCCCGCGACCGACGCCGCGTTTGGGATCATCCGACCGATGACAAACGACGGCTCGGCTGCTCAACGATTCGTGACTCATTTACATTTCGCTGGCAAAACGCTACGATTTCGCGGAAGATCTAAGCCGCGCGGTATTAAAAAGTATGCACTCAGACTTGCTGTGACTGGCAATAAATTTCGGTAAAAATAGCATCAAAAATCGAAAACATCGAAAACAGATTTAATTGTCAAACAAATGCTTGCATTCGATACGCCATAATAATTGGCGCATCGAATTGATCGAATAAGTACTCGGGAAAAATTGAGAGAAAAAATATTTCAATACAGAGATATCAAATGGAATTTAATTTTTCATTTCTCTATACATTCAGAAACTTTTTTTTAGTCTTTGTAAAAGATATTAATTGTATTGCTAGATTTTTGCAGGCACATATATACGTGTAATGTTTTTGTTACAAATCTCTACCTTTGTCAGAAAAAAAGGGAATACAAAAAATAATTACATTAAAATTATGTTAAGATAGCTGTCAATGTGCTATTTATACGCATCCGAGGCAAGTTATTTCCGCGAAGGCTGCAATAAATTATCGTTCATTTTCAATGCGCGCATATATAATCATTTTATCATAACTTTATTTTAAGATGTTCAGGATGATTCTGCGCAGAAATGCATCACGAGCTGGACAGACTTATATATAGAATATGTAGATTGTAACACAGTTGGTGTTGGACTCTATCTTTACCGGATAGACACGTGCAAACGCGCGCGATAGTTACGCGCTCGCGATGATGATTCGCGATGAAAAATCTCGATAAGTGCGGGATTACGTGCGGTAAGAGCAGACCTTGGAATTGTGACTCCAATGAGGTTCAAGGATCGCGCGGCGAGCGCATAATCAGGATGTGTAATAAAGAAGAGGGTAATGGGCGAGTGCGAAGTCTTCCTCGTCGCATCAGCGCCCGTATCGCGATGTATTAATCAACCGCAGAAATTGTCCTGTAATCCGTGCGCTCGGACTTATTAAACAGTCGCTATCCAACCATCGCACCGTTAGCGTGTGATAGCAGTAGCATGTCCCTCGCTATAGCTAACTAGTATACATATATAGCAGATGCATTTCCCGTTGCGGAAGTTTCGACGTACCGTGCAATCATTGACGATACATGACACGTTGACAACTTGTGACGCTTGCCATCCGCATTCCTAGCTCGAATAAAAATTTGCGGTAACCGAAAGAGCGTCGACTGCAGGCGCGTTAATATTAAAATCGAAATTTGCTTTGAGAATTTGCGGAATCGCTTATAAAATACAAAAATACGTTGAAACAAAATATTTTGAATTTATACGCATGATATGTGCAATATTTTCTGAGCATTAAAAATGACTATTTATAGATATTTCAAATTCACTCGAATAACGCGTATAATAATATGTACCGTTTAGGGTTGCTGATCCGAAAAGTATCGGGGGTATCCGAGTAATTACTCCAAGCAATTGCTAACAGACGCATTGCCAGATCTCTGATTTTTGCCAAGACTTTCCCAACTCAACTCACATTCGACCGGCTGGCTGGCTGGCGAGCGGAAATCTTAGAATGACTCGACTCTGACGATCGTTCGTCGGACTCTTACGCAAGCGGCCGCCATTCGGTCGGGCATTCAGGTGTGTGCGTGGGGATTCCTCGTGGCGCCGGTCGTCTGGCGCGCTCCATGCATTCGCACGCGTGTTCCCGTACGTGTACGCACACGGCCGGCCGGGTGCGTACAACGTTACACGTGAAGGCAGTGGCGTATTTTGGTATCTCTTCTGCTGACACGTTGTATCCCCGTGCAATCCGTGTAAAAATCGTGTCAGCGTATAACTCAGGATCTGAGCAAATTTACGACGGTCATTATTCTTTTCTTGACTCATACGTTTCCTCTTTTTATGCGCGGTTTTTATATGACGCAAACATTTTTTTTCCGCACACTCTTCCATTTCAAGATTTGGGCGAAGGGGGTTTCGCTATGATATGTGTCTGGCTAATTAATATTCATGTATTTTTTTCCGGACACGTATAACGACGTATTGTTACGTATTACCGCGACACACGATTGGACGTCCGATTGTAAAAAAGCTGCACTTTTGTCTAGAGGTGATGGAAAAAAAATGAATACGCCACTGTGCAAACGACGGAGATATATGTCGACCGCGCTGGCACGAACAACGTTCGACGGCATCCGCGGAATTCGTCAAACGCAATTTATTCGCGATAGCCGATCGTTATATGATCCGGGGCTCGAGATACGTCGAGAGTAGTGTTGTTAACACTGGATCCGGTTATGATAATATTAGCGCGCGGCATTCGCCACTTTTCGCGTTCATAGATAAAAGATTAGGTAGCTGTAAACGTTGTAAGCGACACGCGAATATTTAATTATATACCTGCAGTGAATAAAGATGAAGATAGAAAATTAGAGATTAAATATGATTAGACATTCGAGTGTCGCATGTGCATAAGATTGCAAACTTCATGTAAAATTTCCTTTAATAAGAATTCACTTATAAAAATAAGAGAAAAATAAGGTTTTATTATAGATATTAATTTTGTTCAATTTTCATTGCTGAATAAACGTAATTGCAGATCGGTTATTTTCGAAAAAGAATTATTTTTTCAAAACTCAGCGGAAAGCATACCGTATTAGATTAGAGAGAAAATCCGATCTTTTGGTATACTCTGTATATTTCCTCGTCTATAATTCACGCGAATAAAGTCTGTAAAGCCTGATCGCGAGATTGCTGCTCGATCTATCGATAAATTTCGAGCGATTCAATTAGCCCTTCGACACGCCTCAGTTATCTTTCGTTAATCGGTCGGTTTATTTTAAAATCGATTAAAAACCCGACGAGAGAGAGCCTGCGATAATGCCGCGTGCGACGCGAGATTACCGGGGACCAGTTTCACGAGAATTTGCATACATAATTCTCCGCGCGCGGAGAGCCGTCTAATCGAAACGGCTTTTCCCCAACCGATATAAAACGTTCGACAGTCAACCTGTCTCGGCCGGCGCTGATAACACGCGCACGCATGTACGCGCGTGGGCACGTGTCCGCGCGGCGACATACGCGCGGAAAAAATCGGTGGTATTCACGGAGACGATCGGAAAGACGCGAGAAATTCCGCCTAGGTATGCTGGCACACCACCATCTGTTCTGTCTCGTATTTTCCTCTCGACGTCGGTAATATTCACCGTATAATCCGACAAACCGCCTGCTGTTTTCGATCGCATTTGCATTACCGAATAATCGAGTCGCGATTCAAATTGTCACTTGATCGTTGCGTATTTTCGTGTACCAGCGACGTCGAACAATTCTATGAGAGATTTTAAATAGAAAGCCTGCTATTCGAGAAAAAATGGAGGTTTTGCTTCTTGCCAGAGGTTTGAAACTTCGCGATTAATGTACTACAAAACTTTTTTTTTTCGAATAGCTTTATAATACAAAAGTAGGAGCAACTAGCGGAAATAATAATGAAAGATCTAATTGTGAGTAAGCCAGGAAATTTCTCTGGGCAGCTTCGGAATTAAGTTACCTCATTCTCTGGACTTGGACAGACGCGACCGCAAAATCTCTCCAAGGGATCGCGCTTATTCCTGGCGCTTGTCAGAGATTCCAAAATGACGGTATTTAATTGAGAGCGTACGTGCAGGCGAAGCCACGTACGTAAGTTCCCCTCAACTTGGCAGCCGCTAACTGACGTGCGGATTCTATCTATTCTCGAAGATATGCCACCGCGTCGCGATGCTAACGTTTCAGAAAACGTCGTCACTCCGCGATTCATCGATGTTTCGTATCTTGAGATATTACACTTTCGACAGAGCCTCATCGAGTTATTCCGTACTAAAAATGTCGTGGTATTTTTTGCTTTGTCTTGGCTTTCGAAGAGTTTATAAATTCGAAGCTCCGAGGGAAGATTGAGAGCTACAGACACCGCTGGATTTTCGCGTTATTTCCTTAAATATAATTCGCTTATTCGCGAAATAACGCTTTTCAGGTCCCGCGGACGGCGATATTAATAACCAAATGGAAATAATAATTTTATCTTTGCCTTTCTCCGCGCGTGTGGGAAAGAGGATCTCTTTGCCACCATCCCGCTTCTCTCCGCGCTCGTAAATAGAGCGGCTTTCGTATGTGCATATACTTTTTGGAGCCGTCCCGAGAGAGCGAAGTCCGCCTCGTCGCAGATGCAGCGTGACCTTCCGTCACGATCCCTCTCTCGTGCGTGAGAATTCTCCGGCTTCCTCTGGCTGCGACGCCGCGACGTCGGGTTATATTTCTTTTCCGACTCGGGCTCGTCTCGTGTTCGCCCCGCGAAGACAAATGCGGGCGCCTATGCTCCAACGACGGGGCCGTCAATTGCGTCCGCCGTAAATAATGGAGTAAATCCACCGAAATTTGTGGCCGCCAAGTGCAAGATCCTTAAGTATCGCCCGTGTGATAGGATTTTCTCTCCGCGTCGTTGTTTATTTCATTGAACGTTACAACGTCATCGCGAAATTTCTTCGAATTTAATTAAGTAATTTATTCATTTGACGAAATAACATAGTGGAGAATCGTGTCATAATATGAATAATAAATATAAATAAAAAAATAATTTGTATTACGAATGATGAAAAGTATGACGAGATTTTCAAAGCTAAAATTATTCAGTTGCAAAATTTATATCCTTGCCAAAATATAAAAAATAAAGCTCTTCTGAAAATCTACTAATATTTTATATTAGTCTTCATATATCATACGGACTTTATATATATATATATGTATATATACATAAAATTCAGCACGCAGCAAGAGAATAAGCTCAAGTAAATTGAGATAAATAAAGTGCAGGATTTAAAAGCACACTGGAGCGGAGTTTTAACGCAAGGGGATGTGGTGGGCGTGCTCTTCGAGCACGATATCGCATGGATTATTCGTTAAATTCTGAAGGCTCGGTGTGCGTGTCGTTTGACGTCAATCGCGTTTGAAAACACGTTTCGTGCATTCGTGATTAACGCCCTCGCGTCGCGCATCGAGCGCGACTGGCGCCTGCAGGACGGTCGGTTTAATTCAACGTGACCGAATTTGCATTTCGGTCAAACGTGTCGTCCGCGCCCCGTGTGCCGTCGTTTAATCCCCTCGATATAATCCCGTACCATAGAAACGCACTCGGCCGCGTCCCCATTATCCGCGTATATACGCGTTACGCGCGGAACGATATAAGCACGGACGATTTCGTATGCGCTCGATTATCATCGCTTATCATTCACCGAGAAACTTCTCCCTCGCGCGCCGTAATTGCGACAGCGATAACCGGTTGGGCTCGAGTAATCGCGCGCCCTTACAAAATACGACGAGAAACTCCCCCGGTGATACCTTTATTTTCTTTCAGCGCACGAGCAAGTAAAACATAAGAGGCTTGACTCGATCTGATATTGCTCTATGCGGATCATTTCCTGAGAACTGATCGTGTCAATTTCCTCGATGGGTCTCGACAGCGACTCAAGCTGGGTGCGGTTGAAAGGTCGTCGCGCGGCCTCCACTAACACCAAAGAATACAACCATTCACCGCCCACTCGAACGGGAGCTCCCACGAATGCGGGATTTAAGGTCATTCATTCCGCGAGAAAGTAGACGAGAGCAGCGAGAGGCGTTAAACCGGAGATTGTTGATTTCTTTTGCATCACCAAACACTGCAGGGATTCGCCCGATTTTTCTTCATCTTTAAGCACGATCTGTCTTTTTGAATAAATCTATAATATCGAGCACTAATTCGCGATACTTTTGATATTATTATTAATATTTTTTCAGTCATATTTTTTACGTGGTTTATATTATGGCCATGTAAAAAAAAATATTTATTTTGTACAGCTAAATGTTTTTGAGATAGATTATATTTGTCTCGCATTTTTGCGAAAAAATGTTTCTAAAGATTGCCGTATTTTTGTGGTCTAAAAATCTCGATTTATTTAACTGTACCTCGCAAACGTAAACGCGAGCGAGAGGAGTAAACGCCGATAAATCCAACGGTAACGTTTCCGCGTCACGCGTCGCTCACATCGCGATGCTCCAATCAACATTTTCGTGCGATCGTAAACGGAAGTTTTTGGCACGGCGCGACTATCCGAGCGACACGGCTCGGGCAACGCTGCACATGCATACGCAATGCAATGTTTCCTCTGTAGTTGTGCGATGCAATTTTATATGTGTACGTGTGATTCATGCGTCTATCCGCGAAACCTCCCATACGCGCATGTATCTGCGATGCGTTCGAATGCCGCGCTTGTGCGCTTTTCGTTGGTGTGCATGGCGTACCGCTCTCAAATTTGTGTGTGTTTGTGTGTGTGTGTGCGCGCGCGCGTGTATATATATTCCGTATGCTTTCGTGTGAGTGCGTGTGTACCGTAGGTATAGGTACAGCGGCTTTATCACGAGCACAGCTGGCTCGCTTCCATAAACTGCGCTCGTAAAAACTTCCGAGGCTTCCCCGGAGCGAGCTTAAAGCCCCGGCTGCATCGGGCGTCCGGGGGACCGGAAGTCGACAGGCCGCGCGGGTTTTTATACGTGCGCGTGCGGGCGGACGGGCGGTATGTAGGTCGAAGGACGGATCCTGTCTTCGAGGACCCTCAATCGCGCTCCATCGATCCAGCCCGGTCGCCGCCGTAAGGGCTGGGAACCGTCGTACGTCCTTTCTCGGCGCTTTCCTTCCTTCCTTCCTTCCTTCATTTCTTCGTTCCCTTCTCTTCTCCCGGGGGATCTCCGCGCCCTTTATTTAAGGTCGTTATACATACAGACAGCTCGGTGTAAGCGGAGTGCTCCGATTTCATTCGCGGTCATTAACTCGAAAGGATTGAGGCGGAAGAGCGGATTGCCTGAAGGGTGTCGGTAATAACGACGCGGCGTATAAGACGGAGATTGAAACTGTAGCGAGGGGGTCGATTCTTTTACGTTGATATAATTTAAGGGAGACTTATATATTACAGAATTTTGACGTAAATACTATAATTGTGGTATGATTATAATGAAGATAAGTCAGTAATTTCTTAAATTTGTAAAAAAAAATTTTTTAAGTGCTAAAATATTACACGTATTAATTTAGTTGTAACCATATTTTTATGACAAATCCTTTTATAATCTTTCGTGATCGGATTATATTCGAGTGCTCTCGTCGTATATATAGTCCGATCGAAGACTGTACGAGAAAAAAATATCAAATTTTCGACGTTACAAACTATAGATTAACTATCAGTATATAAAAATTGGAATTCTATGTTATTGGAAAAACACACGGAAAGAACGATTTTATTAAAGTACCTAAAAAAATTTATGTAGATACTGATCTGAAAATATAATTTTATTGGATTGTCAAAATAATTATGTGAGCCAAACATGATGAACAATATATTATAAAAAGTTTTGACGGTTTAGTAACTAATTTAAACGTCCTACATAATTATTTTGATAGTTCAATAAAATTTTCTCAGATCTGTGTCTGGCTAAATTTTTAAATACTTTAGCAAAACTTTCCATCTACATTTAGCAGATTGAGGATTAACGAAGGCGAGAAATTCGTAATAACTGCACAAGTTATCGATCCTTACGTGAGATGAGCAAGTTGCTGCGGATAGTCTGTGTTCGTGCGGCAATGTTGTGAGCGCTGCTTGAAGATCGAGGTAAATCCCTCGTCACGGTCATAGAGGGTTAAACCTCTATTACTTAAACTCGAGAGTTTGCCATTCCCCCTTGGAATTCCTCGGCGCAAGTTCATGCCAAATCGCAAGCGTTTCCAGCACCCGGTGCGGACTTTGCGGAAATGCAATCTGTCGCTCTCATCTTTCGGAGCTGAGCTCGTTGAGATTTCTGATTGACCGGGCAAAACGAAACGCCGCATTGACCGAGTAATATAGTCAGTAATACGAGAAACATTCGCGGGATCGATAAAGCGACAGAAATGACGCTCCTTCAGCATGGTTTAAATTTTAATCAATTGTTGATTAGAGTTTAATCAACTAATCACCGTGCGATTAAAAATTATAGAGTTGAACAATAATACCTGCATTGTACTTGTAATATTCCAAAATTAAGAAAAATCTTATTATTTGCATCTATCGAAACATTCAAGGCAATATAATTTCAATTTGCAACATTTCTACTCTTCTTTTTTTAAAGAGATCAGTTGCCATTTTAAAAGGTATAACGATAAATGGAAAATAATATTTTCAACGATTCGAAATAGGCGGTTTTTTTTTTAAATACTGCACACGCGGCTAACACAGAAAGTCACTTAATTATTTTCGTATGGCCGGGGAAATGAAAATTGCACGGACGACGTAATCGTCGCAGGAGCGTCTCTCTCTGTGACGTCGCTCTCTGCGTTCGCCGATGATGCTGTCGTCGCCAGCGCGGCGCAGAGATGAGCTCGTTCGTGCGTGAGCGGTGCACACACGTAACCGCTTAATGCAGCGGGGTCCCCCTGTGATGCAGGTCTAAAAATAAATCACGTACCCCGTCTGTTCATTCAATTGACACTATAAACTAAATTGAGGTTTTTCTTCCAGGCGGTACTCGGCACACAGACGACGACGATGATGACGACGGCGACGATTTGTGCACACAACGTATATAGGTATGTATACGTAGTGCCGTAAGTGTCCCCATTGCCCGCGCGAATTACCGGGGTATTACACCTCGTACGAGCGCGCTCGAGCGACTTCGTAAGATCTATTGAGCTATATTACACGCTGTTATGTAACGCGACGATGAGTACAGACAAGTGAAATGCTAATTGGAGACATCCCGAATTTCCTGCTCCGCGCGCGCTCTCCATCGAAGCGTTTGCGGTTACGCAATTATGCGGGGAATGAACCAAATTTGTGACAAATTTAGAGCTAATTAGATCATACGTAATATGAATCTTTTAAATTATTCTTAAGAAAAGAAGTACTGAGTGACAGAATGGAGAGTTTGAATTTTGCGCACGCTATTCCCATGAATTATTGTAGGATAAATACGAGATATATAAGTGTCACACGTGGATATACCGAAGGACCAACTGAGAAAATTGTTTCAGGATTGCGATATCAAAATTATAGGTTGTAATTATTTAAAATTGCGACATTAAATATAAACGAGAGGAGAGTAAAAGTATTTTTATTACTGTAAAATTTAGCTCGCGTTGGAATTCCACAATTTTCGATATTAATTAACTTCGTGTATAAAGTAATTTTTTAATAACATTTTTCTGAAGGATAATTAAGTTCTTTAAGGTCACAATTGAGTTAAGACACACGCGACATTTTATACCCTCTTACGAAATATATGTAATCCCCTAACGTTATTATCTACGTGCTCGCTTTAGCGAGCTCGTGACGGCCGCGGCGTAATGCGGCGTTCTCTGCCGTGGTTGTAGAAGTCTAAAAATACAGCACCGTCCCTGTCTGTCCGTTCGTTTGTCCGTCCGTCCGTCCGTCTGCGCTTTATTTGTGTCGGTCGCCACGATGTCGCCAGTCACGAATATATTACACGACCTTCGGGTTATAGATTCGGGAAAGCGTGACGGGGATACTGGGTAAGGTCGGCGGCAAGAATAATCGCCGATCGCCGAAAAGACGGCAAAGAACGAAGCCAGAGAGGTGCAAGAGCGCGATAGAGGCATTCACGAGTTCTCATTTAGGTTCCATTATCTTATCCTTACCCATTATTCGAGAAACATTTATGCGTAAGGGAGATAAGGGAGGCGCGCGACAGTGCCTTGCAGCACATTCGCGATTGTTTTGACGATCTATCATTTCGTTCCTTAATGACTTTCAACGCACGACGGTAACGACAACGCCAGGTTGGCGACGCTCTGATGAGGCCCGTGTTCTTATTATTCCCTCGCGATTAATCAAAGTTTTCGCGAGAAAATATCAGCGTTTCATCCGCATCCTTGATTAATCGATATATACGTCATCGGCGGGAATATCAAGGATGCTGCGGCCGAGGAAACCATAGTTGTCTTCCGGAACGCGATAAATGGCCAACGCGTAAGCATTGTGTATGCCTTTAAGACATCCTACAGAATCGCGCACAGACCGCGGGGAGCTAATTAGGAATTAACCTCCGTGCAGTTTATGATCCCGCACGAGTTGCTCGTTAAATTAATCTCGCCGGCTGGCGGAGAGCCTGATTCCGCACCTCCGCTTCGGGTTACATACACCTGATGCTCAGCGGCATCGTGATTTTACACCTGGTCTGGCGGCACCGAGGTAAGATCATTGCGCCTCTGTAACGATAATGCATCGACAAGTTAATTGCAAAAGTCATTTGCTCACCATGAGGAGTCATCACGCAGGACGTGATGACACATATATATTTTTTTAATGCGAATTTGTAACGCGACAAAAATAAGATAAGATTGTTCGGCTTGTTACATTGATTCGGCCGTACATGCCATACTTATACAATTAATCTTAACAATATATCGAGAAGAAGAGTGAAAAAGTTAAGATTATAAGAAAAATGTTACGAAAATTTTGAAGAATTAAAGCGTTATAAGCGAAACATAGAAAATTCTACTTTGTGAAAATTAAAAATTTTTTAATATTTATTTATATAATTATTATAGACACTGTCCAAATTGTTAACACTTTTATTCTTCTGAACTGAATTTTTCAACAATATTTCTTGTTTTCCTTTATTATTGCTTACAAGTTCTCGGTTGGATTAATACTTATCGTTACCTTTTCTATTCTGTCGAAGTGGAACAATACTGTAGGCGTTAATGCGACTTGCGTGCGAATTATTCCCGTACATTTTCTCGCGATTTTCTCGCCTATGGCGCCATGATTTGAAAAGGCTGACATATAGGATATTTGGGTTTTATCGGGATCATCAAGACACGTAGGCAGGTATACAGGCGCGCGCGCGTTTACGTCATTATAAATCTGGATCGCACCTCGCTCGCATGCGATCGTCGGCGCGCGCGCAACAAGCGACGAGCAACAAGAAGGAGCGGTACGGGTCTCCGCGTGCGTGCGATTTCAGACGCGTTTGTGCACCTTGCCACGGACGCGGTTGCGGGACGAATGAGAGGGACGCGGAGAGCAGCACGTAGGAGAGCGGCAGGATCGCCGGCCCTCCGGAAGGCCGCTGCCGGCAGATGGCCGGCAGATGTCTACAATCTTGCCCTGATTGCAGGTCCGGGCGAGGAGTAAGTCGCCCGTGAAAGGGGAGCTGCTATCCGCTTGCACGTGGCCGCTTGGGCAGCAAACCGCTATCCGCGCGAGAATCCTCCGTCACGCCCGGCACCGATCGATCGAGCGATCGCGCGGGGCACGTAACGATCTCCGCGCGTGATGATGGTGTACCCTCTCGTGCCAATAATGCTTCCGAGTGCAAAGGGGACGTGGTTCATTTTGATGAAATTTTCTACGGTGGTAGTATCGGCATTTTTTCGAGCGCAGAGATTTGCGATTTAGTCGGTGATGTCAATAACACGAACAGCATCCACGATGTGTTGCAATGACATAAATCAGAATTGTACATGAGAAAGTTTAAAGAAGTCCCAAATCGAAGTAATAACAACTTGTTGAATGACCGACTTATTCTAGTACTGATCGTAGAACTTAATAGCAAAGTTATGTATTTAATAGCGATATTTTATTAAGCTACAGAAATTTATCCTTTGAATGAAAAAAATAATCTTGGAAATAATAGAATAATAAGTCAATTTTATATCAAGCGTTTAGCGTTAGCGTAAAAAAAAACAAATTTTTGCGAACCAATTTTTATCAAAGAATTATGGAATTGGTCCTAATTCTTTGATAAAAATTGATTCGCAAAAATTTGTTTTTTTTTATGCTAACGCTAAACGCTTGATATAAAATTGACTTATTATTCTATTATTTCCAAGATGATTTTTTTCATTCAAAGGATAAATTTTCAAAATTTTATCGAAATAAGAAGGAAATTTTAGGCTATCTTTGCTATTTCCTCAGATCGAGGATTAAAAAGTTCTCAACGACAATATCCGGATATCTGTCCGACCAGAGGGCAGTTTTAAAGATCCGGATGATCCCCCGAGTGTGTGTGTGTGTCGGCCATCTTTCTTGGGAGTTGGTGTAACTACAAATACACAATGGCACGAAATTCCATAGCGGATCGTATTCAGCGGTCACGCGTGCATCGACTGGACCACTCGCCCGAGAAATTCGCCCGACGGCGGAATCCATCGGGGTTTGGCGTCATTGCTGTTAGCCGGCTTTCTGCTCGAAATACCATACGCCAGGAGGATTCTGGGGTCCTTTGTCTGCCCTGCCCTGCCCTGCCCTGCGCGAGAAAGGCGCACCTGCCCGGCGTCGGATCCAGGGCGGCAACCTGCCCGTTTGGCGTCTTCCTGTCGTCCCTTCCCCCTCACTACTCCCCCTCCCCTCCGTAGCCTGACCACTGTCTTCCTCACGAAACCGTTTCACGACCGGTAGATTGGACCACTTATGGCCCCGGACCCTTTTCGATTCTCCCGTCCGATTTTACCTACCAGGAAAGCGCGCGGATCGCCTTTCTGCTTCACCTTTGCCTCCGGCGTGAGTTTCGCGGCGATATTCCCGACGGTATACCCGCTTCCTATGAATCTTAGATGAGTAGAAATCGAATTACCGATTTGATACCGTTATGAATCTATAATGTTAATGGTCCTGTTGATGATACTGGAATCGTCGAACACGCGTATGCGCGTGTTTAATTCTGTTAATCGTGATAATTATATTATTGCATACAAGCTGTGCTGATCGTAATAAATTAGTAAATATTAGTATATTTAGCATTTATTTTCATCCATGATTATTTTATAAATTAACGCAAAAAAATGCAGAATCTTATTGATCCTTTAATTAATGTTAAATTTTTGTTGAGAGTAAATTACTTTAATAATTATATAGAAAATGTAATAAAATTACATTCTCTCATTCGTTTTTCACAATATACTGTAAACTAGGTTTTTAGAAAAACATATCAATAATAAATTTTTTTCATATTTCTCACATAATCTTCTAATAATAACTGTATCATACTAGTTCACGTATTATCTAATGTAAATGCGATATGAAATTATGTTTATTTTTTATTAATAATTAACGTCGCATAACTAAATTTAAAATTAAAATGAAAATAATTTTTAAAAATTTTGCATTTTTTGCTCTTTATTTATGACGTGATAATTTTCAGTTTCTCACATTAGTTCTTGCAAATCAAATAATGAAATCGTCTTGAGAATAATTCTTTCTCTTAGCAATTCACAATAAGTGAGAGCTTGTTTACTTGTTCGCCTCATCTCAATTGCCGGATTACAACAGATTTCCTAGAAAGTTTACGAACCCAGACTCGACTCGATCCTTCAGCCGCGCCGCGCCGCGCCAACCGCGCGGTTGGGGAATCCGCCTGAAAAGATTCCGGTTAATGACGATAACCGGCCTTGCCGAAGGTACGAGGTGGTTATTCACCTGGACCCGCGGAAAGGAGTGAGCTATTCTCTCAGGAGAACGGAGAGAGACGGCAGGATACTCGAGACGATCCAAGAGCGTAGGAAGCGTCCGGCGGTGCCCGGCTTCGTCGATTTACTATCGATGACGTGCCGCGAGTGAGACGAGGGTGAAACGCGACGGGTGCGGACAGCTCGATGACACAAAGCG